CAAAGATGCTAAACAGAGGGTTCAGTGGAAGCAATCATTTTGGCAACCGCCAAGAACTAAAATACTTGTGCTCACGTGGTGGAGGAAACTTCAAACAAACCCAGTACTTAGGCTTTTCGGAGAGAAACAGCCATTGTGCCAAATTCGTATTTTTTTTCCTCTCCCTACTTACAGGAGCAGGCTAAGATGCTCTTCATTGTACATTAATATTCTCTGAGATCTTACATCCCAAGTTGTGGGAAAGGTGGAGGGGGCACAAGCTGTAGAAGAAGCAGAGCCATGTCACAGAAGGCCTTTGAAGGGGGACCTATTGGCACGGGAAAGGAAAAGGGCGCGGGAAAGGGCCTCGGGCAGTTCCAGGCTATTCACGGCCATTGACGAGAAACCGTTGGTGGGTTCCTTCCTCCACGCGTCTGCCTTGGCACCACCACTGTCCCCAGCTAGGGTTGCTTCCCATGGTCTTCCTCGTCCTTGCAATGGTGCTTTGGGCAGTAGGCTCCTGCTGGGAGGTGGGCTCTTGGAGGATGCCAGTCTGGGTCTTCCTTCAACGCCCGCCCTGCTTCCAGAAATGTTACGTTGCTGCAGTTAGCCTTAGATGATGGTGCCATTAGCACACCGAATGGAGGCCTCCATGTCTGAATGGCCCTCGTGGAGAGGACGATGCCAAGGGCCTCTGCATGCCAAGCAGCGAATTGCGCATGGCAGAAGCAAAGAGAACAACTCACTTTGCCAAGTAAATCAAGTGTGTGGGGATCACTAGCTGATGCAAATATGATTTTTTTCTGAAGGGCAGCAGCAAGTTAATTATTTTTTACTTCTGAGGCCTTTCTTATCTATTCCACTGTAATAACTCGTAGGAGAGGTCCAGAACTTGAGGCGCAGGGCTGAAGACTTAGAGCAAAGGGGCAGGCCTTGATGGCGTGGAGTGGAACTTTGGTGTGTCTGATGGGAGCATGGTGCTTGTCTCATCAGAAAGTGCGGCCTGAATCCAAATCTGGTCATATTCAGAGCAGATGGACCCCTCTGTGTGCATCTAGATCTGGATACAAGCAGAGCCAGTGTGGTATAGCAGATAGATTGTTGGACCAGGTCTTGGGGGATCCAGGTTCCTAGTCCCCATGAAGTTTACTGAGAGTCACTGAGTCTCCACCTAACCTATCTCACAGGGGAAAATGGAGAGGATGATGTAACTGCCTTGTGTTCCTTCCAGGGAAGAAGGGGGGGATATAAGTGGAATAAATAAATACATCCCAAATGGACAATAACACAAGTCAATAAAATAAGACAGTATTTTTGCTGCAATTACCAGCACAGTAAATAAAAATATCTCTTTTTCCTTGCTCAAAATACACTTTCTCTGAAGAATACTGCAACATCTTAGAGTGAGCATGAGTGAGATGTTGATTGAATGTATTTGTTTTTGGCTTTTGTTTGTTGTCCTGTTTTGAACAATTTTCCTGAGTTTTTACCGTCTCTTTGTTATTGTTGAGGGCTTGTGTGTTTCCCATGCCTCCTTCTTGCAAAGAAATGAGATTTTTTCATAGCCCTTCCCTCCTTCTGCATAGTTAGTTCCTGAGTGTGCTTTGGGTCACAGATTTAATGGAAATGCCATCATAGCAAGTATCTAGGCCAAGTTAGAACTTCTTTGTTTTGATTTTTCTAATGTTATTTATGGGCTTACAGGCTGCCTTATGAAGACAGGCTAGGTTTTCGCTCCCGTGTTCTGTCACTTTGGTAGCTTGGCTTTTGAATCTTGCTGCGCTGGGCAGCCTTTTGTTCGTGGTGGCTGTGCACTCCATCTTTATGCAGGTTCTGATTTCCAATAAGCCCCAACATCCTTGTTTCTCCAGTTCTCTTCTTTAGTCACAGTTCTGGTGTCCAACTTGATCACACAGTGTTTTCTAGATCTGCGATGGACCATATCCAGAATCGATCCTACCCTTTTCTATTACAGGTTCCACCTCCCTCTTTTCACCAGAAGGGTTCCTCCTAGAGACAAAATAGTTATTAAGGACATGGGGGAGGGAGGGAGATGGGGGAAGTAAAGGAAAATAAGCATCTCTTGTTACAGTGCCTATACATTTTTAATAAGAGGAATTTGCCAGCTGCCCGGATGAAAACCATAAATCTTTCAGAGGCGAACATTCCTCTTTTCAGGGCTGCCATTCATCTAGAACAAAGAAGTGGGACATCGGCACAGCTGCCTGTTTTGTTTCTGCTCAAGATATGCAATGAAATACAAAGCAGCATCAAAGACGTTTCGTTCCTACCACTTCAACCAATTGATTTGGCTTCTCTTTTGAACGAATAATTGACCCAGACAAGAAGTAATTGAAAAGCAGAAAAAGCTGGACCGGGGCCAAGATGTAGGGATGGCAGGGTGGAGAGAGAAAGCTCGAAAAAGATGAGCTGGAGAAAAGCCTAGTCTGCCCTGGGAGAAATCTGAGGCTGAGAGAACCAAGCAAAAGTTGCAGGGAGAAAGCGGCGTCACACATTCATGGACCCCACTTGATTTTTCTGCACTCAAGAGCCCTGTTGAGGCATTACTTGCTTGGAGTCACTGACAGAAGGAAGCTGGCTAGTCTTGCCCTCTGACACCCACATGTTGAGCACAGTTGTCTTCAAAGGAACCTCTGCAGCGGATCATTCCTTCTCCCCACCATTGGCACACCTGGTCACGTGGGCATCTCCATCATGTGGAGCTCCTGTGAAGCTTATCCATGAGACAATCTTACATAAATCTGTGGATTTCAAAAGGGATTACAAAAATTCAGGGAAAAGAAAGCTAGCAATGGTTATATATTACCTCCAGTGTCAGTGGAAACATGGTTCTATATGCCATTTTCTGGAGAACATTGGAAGGAGGGTGCTTTTGCACTTATCCCCTGCTTGTGAGCATAGAAACACAGAAACAGAGCAAGTCAGAAGGGGCCTCCTGGGCCAACTAGTCTGACCCCTGGCTCCACTCATGACACATCTACCATGTGCATGTCCAAAACCACTTTTGGAGAATGTGGGCCATTCCCCGGGCCTGTACTACACAACCACATTAGACTGATTCAGTGTGGTTTTTCCTACCTTCTTATATTTTATGAAGGGCAGAGATGCTCCAAGGGCAGCTAGAAATGCTTGTGTTCATCTCATTCATGATGTGATTTGTAAAAATGTGCAATTCAATCACATTTGCTGGATTTGCGCAAATCTCCTATTTGCAAATGAGGTGACCACAAATGCAAATAGAAATTCATCATAAGACAAGCAGCAAGGGAAAGTATGGGGTGTCCTTATGATCTCACATTCGGTTCATTTTCCCATCCCTTCACAGGACTGCTGTGTGCATTGGTAAACACATAATGGAGCGAAAAAGCATGACACAAGTGTAAATGAACTCTGTCCAAGTGTTAATTTACCATGTGGTCTGAATATTCTGCCTGTGGTGTAGAGCTTGATTGAGCTTTGAACAGCCTCTCTGCAATGTGCTTTCGGGGGGGGGGGGGTCCTTTGTCAGTGCCCCTTCCCAGCTGCCATCTTATTCATCTTGTAGCTGTAGCAATAACCCAATACTTTCAATCATGGCAATCCAGTTCCCAGCATATCAGGCCTTCAGAGCATCCTGGAACATGAAAATGGTGGCCCCATGTGCTAATATACCAGGGACATAGTGGGGCATTTAAAAGGGTGGCTGGCAGACTCTGCAGAAGCATCAATGGTGGTGCTTCTTGGCCTCTGCAGGCACCGAGGGCCGGTTGGTACTGCTGGACCTGCTGCCTCTGTGCGTGGTCCAGACATTTATTTAGAAAATTTATTTAGAATTTATTTATCAGACATCAGCTGATGTAGCAGCAGAACAATTGAGCAGCACATCTGTACGGCCCAACCCGGAGATTGCATATCAGAGAGCAGCAGCAGAAGCAGAAACACGCTTCTCCCCTCCACCCCTGCTTGAATAATCAGTGCTTTGGTTGGCCAGTGTTGAGAGGGCATGCAATTAGATTTGCATGTGTGAACCAGGCAAAGCAAACAGGCTGAATGGCTCTCTGCAGACTTCCTTAGGATTTTACAACCATACAGGGTTGAAACATTGTCTTTTCAGCAGCTACATGGGATTGATTTTGACATGCCGAGACGGAGAGTTATTCCTAGTGTTGGCTACCATCAAGTTTGTTTTGTCAGAATACATAAAGTAAGCTCCAGTCATTTCATGAAAGGAGAAGTCTAAGGAAAGTACAGTTCACTTTTCAGAGATGTGACCACATGAGATTAGCACTATAAACCCCACAGAGGACATCAATTATTGGGTGGCATTGAAATAAGATTATAAAAAGCAAGCAAACAAATAAGCAGAAAATGAAAAAGTGACTTCCTCAAGTGACTTTATTCAACATGGAGGAACTGCCCTTTTTAACATGCTTGCCATGTGTGATATTCCAAATATAGCAAGCTGTGTGAAAAATTCAGCAGTGTTTGGCACCGGAGCTTGGGTGTTCAGTTTGTGAAAGCCGACTCTTGCAAGACCACCACAGTACTTACTAGTGCCTTGCTTTTCGCAGGACATGTATTATGAGCCATTTCTGCTCCTGTAGACCCTTTGCTAGGATGCGAATCCCCACTTCCAAGTACGATTGGCCAGTTCTTGTTCCTCCTGAAGGAAAGATGTCTCAAAAGGAGTCATAACTTTGCCACATGGATTTAAGTACAAGAGTTGAGAATTCCTCCAGATACGAGATCTGTCTCAGGATCTTAGTTATATGGGCAGTGGGTAGCTGGACATTTAAGATCTGGATTGGGTCCACTGCACCTATTCGAGAATAAAAATGAAAATAAGATATTGCTGCCAGGCACACATTTAAAGTAATGTCTATTTCAGCCTTTAGTGTTCAGACAGAATGACGATTTTTAGGGAATCTTGGCTGGTTGTTTTAAGTAGTATGGTGACGAAACCTGAAAAGTAGCACCTTCCTATTGTCAAGCTTCCTTTCCCCGCTTTCTCTTGCCTCCAGTCTCCAGCAGACCAGTGTAAGAAAATCCATGCAGGGGATGAGGTGATCCAGGTCAACCATCAAACTGTGGTGAGTACTTTTCAGATAATACCATAGCCGTCTTTGTCTCCTCCTACAGCACAGAAGTTGGCAAAGCCAGCCCAAGACGCTTTGCTGCCCAAGGCCAAAATGGCATCCCTGCTCCTGTCCTCCTCTGCAAATGGAAGTTGACCAAAATTGTAGCTGAATCTTACTTCAACAATGACAATGGGGCAGCATCTGCCAGTCTACCCAAAGATGGTAAAATAGCTTAGGGGGCAGGGTAGGCAGCATAGCACCCAAAGCTCTGTCTTTCTGCACCTCACTTCTGCCCTTCTCACAGCATCTCCCCCTAAGCAAAGCACCTCCCTCTCAATAAATCATCAGGACATTGCAAACGCTCATTTCAGGTTGCTGAGGCTCAAGTTTCCCATGAGCTTCTCTAAAACTCACTAGAGACTATCCAAGTATTTTGGCCATACTTGACATTATACAAAAATGGAAATACAGTGATCAATCTCTCTACTGACAGACGTGATTAAACAGATTGTATCCAGGACAAAGACCTTCAACAAAGATTTTGATACTCTTGGATGGATCCAGACTCAATCATGGTTGGGATAGTTCCATTGAAAGTAATAGTCGTGATTAAGTTGTTGCTTTGATTTCAGTGGATCTACTCCAAGCATGACCAAGGTATAGATCCAGCTTTCAGCTTTTTAATATTCTCAAGGGTTGCCAATTTTAGAGTAATAATTTCCATGTCCAGATAGGAACCAAAGAGCTTGTAGTGACCCTTCCTATGTAAAGGGGAGGAGTCATACCACAGTAGCAGAGTCCATGCTTGGCATGTATAAGCTTCAGTTTCATATCCAGCTTGCCCACTCCATCTCAGATCCTATCACAGCTCAGGCAAGGAGGCATAACGTGGAGTAGGCAACCGGAGCACATCTGAGACTTTTCAGGACCAAGGACAGCAGCCAAAGAAGTGGAGTAGGGACAATTCCATTAACGTTATCTGAGAGCACAACTGAAAGGTATTTATATTTAAGCCAGGAGAATTCTTCTGGAAGTTTCAGTCCTGCAGGGCTTTTATCTGGCTGCTAAATAGCAGCTTTTTCCTGGAGGTGTTGGCTTCTCCTGAGAACTGAAGCTTGCAAAGATGAAGAGGAGGTTGGGGATTGCTCCTCAAGGTGTCTTCCGTCTTAAAAGCCTTCTGTTGTAAACACAGCATATTGGGACAATGTCTCTGCACCAGTTGCTAGACGACTGCCTTTTGTTTCTTTGATAGCATAGCTGTTCTCTGGATGTCCTTGTGTTGGGACTGCTTACTGACCCTGCATTTAGTATTTAATTCCCCAGAGCTTTGCCCTTTCAACACTGTGGGCAGTGATATGAGTTGCATTTGGAAACTCACAAACGAGATATGAAATATGATTAATACCCTCTGTTTTTGAGGAGGTGATAAAGAGAAGTGTACCAGTTCTGTATTAGAGAGTCTGTTTAGCAACCACGCCTAATATTTTTAAAATCTGTCTAACCAAGAGAGCCAGTGCGTTGTAGTGGTTAAGAGCACTAGTCTGGGACTCAGATGTTCTGGATTCTAGTCCCCAGTTGGCAGTGAAGCCCACTGGGTGGCTTTGGGACAGTCACAGGTTCTCAGCCTGGCCTAGCTCACATGGTTGCTGCAGGGATATGATTAAGAGCAGCAGCAGGAGAATAATTTTTAAGGAACTTAAAAGTCTGGATATAAATCTAAGAATAAAAAATTGTCCATCACCACATCTTGAAGACAATGTCAGAAGCTCATTATTCGTAAGGATGGATTAGCCAGTCTGGTTTATGTCAATCTTGCATGTGGTTATAAAAAGCATGAAAAAATGAATTTTATTTGAATGTGTTTGCATAAAAATATATATATTGGTATTCTTTTTGCCCCACGGTACTACTGTAATCCCAATATATGTAATCTGTGTTTGCAGTCTGGTACATTTGGAGCTGCGAGCTATATTGCAAAATTTTGGAGAAATGCAAAAGCTGAAGGATGAATGCATTCTGCTAAGTGAATCAGTCTCAAAATTGCAAATTAGATCAGTTTACTTAAAAGTGCAGAGAGAACAAAATCCTCAGAGCCTGCTTCTTAGGGATATAGCTTTATCTTTAAAATAAAAGAAAAAAAATAATGACCTCCATGAGTTTAGTTACAAAAACAAATGGGATTTGAAACAAATAAGTTGCAGATGAAAAATTAACTAATTTCATATCTGCACCAGTCATTGACAGTGTACTGGATCCAGATGGGGTGGGGACACAGTTAAGTTTGTATCCATGTATGTAATTTAATTGGCTCTAAAACAGAAAATGTTTGTCCTATTGCTCTGAAATTTGGCAGATCTGATCCTCTGAAGTGTCAGAGAATGCCCAAGAACATCTTGTCATTTTCATAGAAAACACCAGCAAGAGAGCAGCAGATTAGCTGAATGTCCCATTTAAAACAGAAGTGAAAGTTAATGAGAATAATGAAAGTGAATTAGTTCTAAATCAGTGATGAACATAAATGGAAAGCAAATATGCAAATGAATGCAACTTTTAATAATGAAAATGAAGGGGGTGACTTTTCTCTTTCCTGGGCACCCATATTAGCTATGTGCATTGTAAAGAGTGTATTTTTCTTTTCAATGGTGGTGATGGAGATTGTCCAGAAGTAACATATCTTTCTTTTTCGTGTGTGTATGTATCCATAGTCCCATGCTTCATTAAGGGAAAAATACATTTCTTATGCAGACTACTAATAATTATACCGGAACTTACTGTACCTCTGGTCTACTATCTAATCTAATCACCTTTTTCTAGCTGTCACTTCTTGCTTCCTATTTATTGCCTTAAGATATACTCCTAGGCATGTTTCACAAGGCATAATGGCTTTCATGTAATTCTGTGTGACCTTAAGACCTGATTCACATATCGCAACAAGCCAGTGTATGAAACGAGTGCGTTTTGTTGTTGAAATGTGGATTGTTGCATTGTGGGAACCCAGCCACACTAAGAAACCATGGTTTGTTAACCAGGGAAAACCCATCATCAGCCCAACATCAAACCATGGGTTAGGATGGGTTCTCTTCAAGAACCCTCTGAGGTTAGCAAACCATGCTGAGTCCACACAGCAAAACAACCCACAATTTAACAACAACCCACAGCCAATCCATATTCAACCAATACTTTGACTTGTCAAGTTGTGTGAAACCAGCCTGGTAAGATGAAAGAGATGTCAGAGATTTCTGTCTAGGCTGGTTTTGTAGAGGAACCATCGTTTACCTTCTGAACAGAGTGTACTTTGTTTGATTTCTGTCACATGATGTGTGTGTGTATCAACAGATGCAGAGATTATAACTGTGCTTAAGCTTTAGAGATATGAATAGATAGAAATCTAATTTTAAAAAGACAGCAATGGCTGAAAGGGATATTTTAAAGGCCTTGAATTGTACCAGACAACTGTGCTGGGATGCAAGCCACATCACAGCTGGAATCTCTTATGTGGAATTTATTCTTTTTATTTTTGACCAGGCAGCCTTAACATTGCCTCCCAACAGTTTTTGCCCTTTTAATTAAGGAATCATTCAATATACAAATTCCCAATTAGTTACACAAATGCTTGTTTCAGTAGGTAGGAACAGTCTGCAGAAAAATCAAAGCCCTTCTGTTCTTCATCAGTTTCAAGCGTCCAGAAGAAGCTTTGCTAATTAAATCACCATCAACTGTGGGGGAAGTGCACTAATCGTAAATTGGAATACTTACAACAGTTTCTTTGAGACGGCACCCCCGTTTGTAACTGGCTACTTCAACATTCACAGATTGCTTTCATCACGCTTGGTAATGGAATTTGTCACTTCTTCAGTCTGCTTTCTTGGGCAATTGGCACATTTTTGTTCTGCTTAAATTGGCAACCCATGAGCTTCATCCAGATGCTTAAAAAGACTAGTTTTATCATAAATACTGGTTTACTAGACTTAATGAATAATCCTATAGCCCTAGCGAGGGTTAGCCTGGTGTAATATTGCTGTAGATAATTCTTTGCAGTCCAAGTGGCAAAGCTGATAAGAAAATAACAGTAGCTCCTACTAGACACCTGCTCACTCAGCTTCAGTAGCAACACTGATATCATAAACCAAACTAGGGCTGGTATGCCTATCCGTTCCCTCCACCCCTGCATATAGAACAACTAACCTACACATTTCGCCGTATCCCCAAACTAGGGATAGATGAATCTCTCTATTTCTGGTTCGTGCCAGTTTTGATCCAGTTGTGATCCAATTTCCATGCCTGTGATTTAAAGAAATGCACACACATGCACAAGTATTCACATCCTCATTTATTGTATTTAGTTACTTGATTCATTAAATTTATAGTGCACACGTGACGTTAGCACACACATCCTGGAGCAGGTCCACTAAGAGCAGGTCCATCGCACCAACATCCAGGAGATAAAGAAGGATATCGAATGTCATATATTGCTTTTAACACATTCTTTCTGAGCTGAACAAAAATTCATAGTGGGAAATACGACCTCAGTGCTTTCCAGTTTGGGTCAAATACAGGGGATATTATAACTGCCTCCCAGACAGATTTTAAGCCATTCAGGTGCCCTGTGGTCACACTAAGCACCATACTTTACAATTTGGACAGACTCCCCTTTGCTAGTTTCCCTGGGAACACACGGTTCCTCAGCTATGTCAGCATATAAACTCCCCCCTGGTAACCGAGGAAGGCAAATATCTTCCAAGCCGCTGAGCAATTCCATTTCTGTAAGTGGTTGCTCTCCTTCTGATACAATATATACTCTTAGATCGGGTTGCGATGACCCCTTTCAGAAACAGTCCCTCCAGAATCTGCAGACTTCCCCTCATGCTCAGCCCAGTCCTACAGAGCAAGCAAGCAAGCCAAGCCAAGCCAAGAGAAATCCATGAATGCTTGTGAACTCCTGGCTGTGCAATTGGCAGCCTTCTCTGGCCACCATCCCCAGCAGCCAAACTCCTCTCCTGCACTCTGCCGTT